TTGATTAAAGAAAATGCTGGAAAGGGGATGTAAGGTAGGAGAGCGTGGGAGATGATCGAAAGATTAACATAGGTTAATTCTGACAGGGAGCAAGTGATGCATTCCAAATAATGATCTGGGCTGGAAGGAGCCAGAGGAATTTGACATTCAGTAAAAATTTTAGGTCAGTCGGATATGCCTTTCCTATCTGGTACAAACTGGGGCTTTCCCATCAGAGTTGCGTGATGCTCTCTGGTGCAAGATTAATGGGGACGCCCCAGGACGCTGGAGAATCTTAAAGAAACCGCAGCAGGAGGCCTGGCAAACTGGCACTCTGCCCCTGCTTTGGCTTTTGGGGATGGGGGGATTCTCAGGGTATTGGGGGAGTGGTCACAAGAAGGGATCCACTGTGTGGAGGTTGAAGGTGGACTGGAGAGAGATGGGGACAGTTAGGGGAGGTTGCGGGGATGGGCTGGAATTTCCATGCACGGACATAAGTGCGGGTTATGTATATTTATCTATCCAATGTGGCTGTACGGCCCCATTACCAAAGTATCTCACACTCCCCAGTGTATTTATTCTCACAGCACCCCTATGGTGCAGGGCAGTGCTGCTATCCCATTGTACAGGTGGGGAACTGAGGCCCATTGGATCATTGCGAGCACTGAGTCTGCCCTCCGGCATAAGACAGGACATGGCCCTAAATTTATTCTCATTTGAATTAGACCCAATCCTCTAGAAAAACATCGACTCTTGATTTAAACATCGCCAGTGCTGGACAATCCATCACAGCTCTTGGCAAGCTGCTCCAATGATTCATTGCCCTGCTCGTTAAAAACGTGCACCTTATTTCCAGTCAGAATTTGTCTAGCTTCAGCTTTCAGCCATTGGATCTTGTTATACCTCTGTCTGCTAGAGTGCAGAGCCCTTCATCCGAGTTTTCCTCCCCATGTAGATACTTACAGACTGATCAAGTCACCCCTTAATCTTCTCTTTGTTAATCTAAATAGATGGCGCTCCTGGAGTCTATCACTATAAGGCAGGTTTTCCAGTCCTTTCATCATCCAATGGCTCTTCTCTGAACCCTCTCCAATTTATCGTTTTCAGAGTCACTGCTTCCCAGGATAGAGTCCCCCATCCTGCAAGAATGGCCTGCATTCTTGGTTCCTAGATCTATGTCTACATCTGGCTGTATTAAAATGCATACTGTTTGCTTTTGCCCAGCCTTCCAAGTGATCCGGATTGCTCTGTATCAGCAACCTGTCCACTCCTCCAACCCACTCTCATACATAGCCTCGCTGACTTCAGGATTACTTGTGTGAGTAAGGGGTTCCCCATCTAACTCCAAGAAACTAACTTAAAAAACAGGGCTTTGGGTTTTTCTGGAGTTTAGTCACCTGCTCCCAGAGGAGGCAAAGCCCCTGCTGTGTGTTTGCTAATCTATTATCACCTGCGTGCTCACACAACTGGAGGAGTTCCCAGTGACACAGGGGCAGAACTCAGGAGCCAGGGATATGCTCAGGAGGTATCTGCAGGTCTATAGACAGCTGGGAAGGGGGGGGGGGGGGGGGGCCTTTTGCTCTCACAGGGAATGATACACTAGACAACTGTAAGCTTTGCATTGCTGAGTGTACACAATGCAGTGTGTGTGTGTGGTGTGTGTGTGCGTGTGTTGTATTTCATCTATGCTCTTAACATAGCTATTGTGAGCCTGATTCTGACCTCATATACAGTACAGTGGCATAAATTTGCAGTCTGAAGTCAGTGGGCCAGATTCTGATCTTACACTGATCACACATGGTTTGACTCTTGACATTAGTGGAATTGTTCCTGATTTACACCAGGATCAAGCAGAATTAGCTACAGTGTGAGATTAGAATCCCTCATGTATAAGTGTGTGTGTGCAAGAGAAAGCTAGGAACCACTTAGTGCCAATGGCAATGGCCCAGGAATCTCCCGAGTCTGGTATTTACATTCTAGTTTACCAAAGCATGTGATATGAGGTCGCAAATAAATGACGCATCACATTGGTCACCGCTATCACTGTGAAACATACGTACAGCAGTTGTGTAAGGAGTTATGTGTATGTACACTGAAAATATATTCTTACAGTCTGTGTGTAGGGATTGGTCACCAGCAAAGGTGACAAAGAGGTTTCCTGTCAGACAAGAGATGTTTATCCACCTGTTTACACGTAAACTGAGTAGTGTCTTGTTTTACAACGGGTCTCCTATCAAGTCCGAACTGAATACAAATGAAGGATTGTGAGACCTTCAGAGGAAACTAACAGGAAGAGAAAAACTGTGTGTGTGTGTATGTTGGGGGGTGTCCCTCAGAGCCCCTTCATGCCAACTGGCAAAGGGCACACCCAATATACTGTTGTCATGAATATTTAGCCAAAGCATGCCTTGTAAGGGATCACATAAAAACTGATAACACGCTGATCATTAATGTCATTGTGTGATGTATGTACAGCGGGTGTGTAAAGAGTTATGTAGGTGTGCTGAAAATATGTTTTTAAAATACGTTTTGTGGGCAGATTTGATAAACAATTTGCCCTAGACAAAGGGATGTTGTTTTGTCTGTCTCCAGTGTAAATTGAACAAGGTGATGCCAGAGACAATGGAAGTTACATTTACATACGAGTCAACAGGGATAGACAAGCAGCAGGGGAGAAGAACCTTACCTGGGGGTGCATTTCAGCAGAAGGCAGAGAATGGGAGAGAACCCCTTAGGGTCTGTCTACACAGCAAAGAAAAACCTGCAGCTAGCCCGTGCCAGCTGAGCTGGGCTCAGACTGTGGAGCTGTTTCGTTGCTGTGTAGACTTCCAGGCTTGGGCTAGAGCCGGAGCTCTGGGAGCCTCCCAGTTCACAGGGTCCTAGAGCCCAGGCTAGAAGCCTACGCAGCAATGCAACAGCCCAGCAGCCCGAGCCCCGTGAGCCTGAGTCGGCTGGCATGGGCCAGCCATGGGCGTCTAGTTGCAGAGTAGACATGCCCTGAGTTCCGTCCCCCACTTAGGGGAGAAAGGGGACAGCGCCCTCTGAGTCTGCAAATCTTTGATCCTCCTGCCAGAAGGACTGGAGATGCTGGGAGCTTGATGTAAGTGAGGAAGCTGTTTAGGTGAAGATTGTAGCTTGCTAAAGTTAACTCATAGACACTAGAGAGCATGTTTTATTTTGTTTGGTGTGTAACAATTTTCTGTTTCTGCTATCTCTGCTCAGTATCACTTAAACCTCCGTTCTCTGTTAATACACTCGGTTTGAGTTTATTGTAAAACCTCTCTTCACTGTTGTATTGAATTAAAGAGTGAGCCCTCAGTCTCTCTGGAGACAGTGGATTTAATAATTTCTGTGAGTGGCCAGGGAGAGGGATTGGAGATTGCAGGGAGATGTCTCCGAGTTTACTGAAGGTTCCCTGCAAGGTTTTGACTGGCAGAGTCCGGAGGAGTTTGTTGGTGTGGCAGACAGACAGGTGTGGCAGGACACTGACACACAGACTAAGTCCCAGCAAAGCTCACCCTTGCAGAGACAGAGAGGTAACACTGGCTTACAGTTTTGGGCACCCTGAAAAAGCCTCATGGGTGTGTGTGTGGGAGAAAGAACCTTATCTTCAGGTGCTCTTCGAAGTTTTGCTCTACTGTATTTGAAGGGCGGGGGAGGGAAGGGGGAACACCCTGGCATCCCTTACATAAGAAATAAATGGACAGTGAATTTGCTTTATGAAAGTGGGATCTCAACCAGTCTTGGTTGAAAATGCTGGCGAGAACTGTGGGTGAGATAAGCTTCTTTAGCCTAGTAGAGGGTAACTTGTTAGTTAAGTTTAGTCTCTAAAAAGCATGTTCTGATTTTGTTTTGTATGTAGCCATTTCTTTCCGATAGTCTTACTCACCATCACTTGCGTCTGCAGCCCTTGACAATACACATACTCTCGCTTTCACTGGAAGTGTATCTAAGGGCTGCGGTACTAAGCAAAGTGCTGGCCCTGAGTGAATGTGATGAGCTGGCATGTCCTTTGGGTGCTGAATGGCCATTTGTGTGTTTGAAACTCTTCCTCTCTCTTCGGAGATGGAAGAGTCAAAGGGCTTTCACTTTTTAATTAAAAATCAGCAGGAGAAGCTTGAGGCTACTGCTCTTGAACTGAAAGTGAAATGCTTTCCTGGAAGCCTGTCGCTTCTCTTTAGTTTTATTTATCGATTGGTGTAATAACCCATCCGAGAATGAGGTAGGAAGAATGTGAATTTATAACTGCATCACCTTGAGTTAATACTCCAACTTCCCTTATCAGTCTCTCCTTTATGTACACTCTGAGCTTCCTCAAAATCTCCCCTAAAACTTTCCATGCTTTGGGTGAATCATTGTTTTAAAAAGGTCCCAAATGATTTAGCTCGACCCTGGTTTATACTGATTCCCAATCTCCAATTCAAAACCATGACCGGTGAGACCATAGTGATGTAAGCATGCTAAATTTGGCCTTTGACCTTCCATTTCTAACAGCCTTTCTGACATGATGCTGTAATGACAGTTTCATTCAGAGCAAAATTTATGAAAAATGCCCTGCAGATGCTGGGGGGTGTGAAATGCAGCCTTAGATGCTGGGGGGTGGGAAATGCAGCCTTCCCCATTTTGACCTGCTGAGGGAAAAGTCGCGCACAGCTCTGCCAGTCAGTCACACAAGCTATTTGATTTGCATCTTCCAGTCACACCAAGTGAGAGCTGCCGGCTGAATTGAATGCCATTCAGAGCAGACTGTATTTGTGGTGGAGGCATTGCATCTGTATAAAGGAGTGTAACCTCGTGCAAATGTCACGGAGCCAAAAGGAGCTGTTGCATCTGCTGTCAGGGAATCAGACCTCTGGGCCTGACTGCTGCTCACAGGAAACACAGGAAATCGCCAGGCTGGGTCAGACCTGTGCTACATGCAGCCCAATATCCTGGCTCTCATGGTGGTCAGTACCAGATGTTTAGGAGGAAAGTGTAAAACCCTGCACTAGGGAGATATAGGATAATTTGCCTGCCGTGAGTGTTGGTTTTAAACCAGAAGCCGGTTGTTTTTATTTCTTCCAGAACTCTTTGTCGGCCTTAACTATTATAACTCTGGGTGGCCTTGTTATCCATAGGAATGTCCAAACCCTCCTTGAACCTTACTAAAGTCTTGGACTCAACAGCCTCTTGTGGCATCTGTCACCACCTGGTCCAGTCTTTCTTCTCTCCATGTCCAGTGAATGCATGGCTGCAACCAGCTCTGCACTTGGCTCTTCTCGTAAACTCCGATTCCCTTCCTTCTGAGTCCAAGACCAGAATGCAACAGGGGCTACTGGAAAGAGAGAGATGGTGAGAATCATAGAATCATAGAATATCAGGGTTGAAAGGGACCTCAGGAGGTCATCTAGTCCAACCCCCTGCTCAAAGCAGGACCAATCCCCAACTAAATCATCCCAGCCAGGGCTTTGTCAAGCCTGACCTTAAAAATACCTAAGGAAGGAGATTCCACCACCTCCCTCGGTAACACATTCCACTTTGCTTAAGAGCCTTTGGTGAGGGACCTTGTCAAAGGCTTTCTGAAAATCTAAGTTCACTATATCCACTGGATCCCCTTGGTCCACATGCTTGTTGACCCCCTCAAAGAATTCTAGTAGATTGGTGGTGCATGATTTCCCTTTACAAAAACCACGTTGGCTCTTCCCCATCGAATTATGTTCATCTATGTGTCTGACAATTTTGTTCTTTACTATAGTGTCAACCAGTTTCCCCGGTACTGAAGGCAGGCTTACCGGCCTGTAATTGCCAGGATCACCTCTGGAGCCCTTTTTAAAAATTGGCATCGCATTGGCTATTCTCCAGTCATTTGGTAAAAAGCTGATTTAAATGATCGGTTACAGACTACAGTTGGTAGTTCTGCAGTTTCACATTTGAGTTCCTTCAGAACTCTTGGGTGAAGACCATCTGGTCCTGGTGACTTATGACTGTTTAGTTTATCAGTTTGTTCCAAAATCTCCTCTAATGACACCTCAATCAGGGGCAGTTCCTCAGATTTGTTACCTAAAAAGAATGGCTCACATTTGGGAATCTCCTTCACATCCTCATCCATGAAGACCAATGCAATGAATTCATGTAGTTTCTCTGCAATGACCTTTTCATCCTTGAGTGCTCCTTTAGCATCTCGATCATCCACTTTTTTAAGAATGCCTTTTTGCTCTCACTGCTTCTTTCACTTTGTCATTTAGCCACGGTGGCACTTTTTTGGTGCTGTTATGTTTTTTAATGTGGGGTATACATTTAAGTTGAGCCTCTATTATGGTGTCTTTAAAAAGTTTCCATGCAGCTTGCAGGGATTTCACTTTTGGTGCTGTACTTTTTCATTTCTGTTGAATTAACTTCCTCATTTTTGTGTAGTGCCCCTTTCTGAAATGAAATGCTACAGTGTTGGGCTGATGTGCTGTTTTCCCTGCCGCGGGGATGTTAAATTTAGTTATATTATAGTCACTATTACCAAGCGGTCCAGTTATATTCATCTCTTGGACCTGATCCTGTGCTCCATTTAGGATTAAGGTGCCTGTGCTGTCCTTCTGGGGCTCGCTTTGTTCCCCTCTGGAAAAATTTTATCATCTGCAACTGTGTTCAGCAAACCTGATGACTGCTTAGCCCAGAGTTCAGGAGGTAGATGAGGCTGTCTTAGGGAATTGCTAACCTGTTTTTCTGCCTGTCGTTTCTATTAGCAAAAGACATGTGGATACTTATTTAATAGCGAATTCAGGGCTGGACTGAGATCTGTGGGGAATAAAGTTTCTTCCTTCCCCAAAAAGCAGGTAGAGTCTAGGAAGACACAGTGCGATCTCCCCATTCTGCCTCACCAGAGTCCACTTCTGGAGTGACCACCTGTAAAGATTTAGAAAGTCCTTTGTTCTTCAAGACCTCTTCAATCCTTGGTTAAGAAGGCAGCTGTTTGTCTAAGCAATGGGCCATCCCATTGCCACAGCCAGCCGTTTAGCTTGGAGAGGAGATGCTGTCACGTGTGTACTGGGCATGGAGAGAAGAAAGTCATTACTTATGAGAACGCTCAACCAACGTACCCCATAGTCATCTGACATTTGATAGGGGGTGAGGCAAAAATAACAGCCTAGTCAGCGGGGGCTTAGTTATTGCCCCCAGATGGCAGACAAGACATCTTAAGGGTTTTTTTACTCCCAGTGGGCATGGTAACCTTCAGACACCTGACTCATTCTCTACCTTATACTGGTGAGATTTACACCAGATTTACATTGTGAAATTTGACCAACAATAGAGCACCGATCCACGAGGCCCCGGCCTCATTGTTTACAAGCCCCTTTGTCATTCACTGAACACCACCCAACTTCTGCACTGAATGCGGCTGAGGGCTTGGCAATCATTGGGATTGAACCAAGGACATCCCAAGCTGAAAGCAGCAGTCTCTACAGCGTGAGCTAAGTAACCAAGCTTTGCTGCTGTTGTCTGTCACAGCCTTGTATCCTCTGTGGCTCAGGCACGTAGGGGGAGGTGTTAGACGCTGACCAGCGGGTTGCATAATCATGTCATTACAAAACTGTGTTGCAGTGCAGAGCTTAAGGGCAATGCCTTTAGAACTGGTCAAAGGAAATCCTTCAAAGACCACATAGAATTAGGGCTTGTACACACTAGTGCTTACTTGGTATAACTTAAGTCACTCAGGGGTGTGGAAAAGCCCGAGTGATGTAAGTTACACTGACCTAAGCGCCAGTGTGGACAGCCCTATGTTGGCAGGAGACGCTCTCCTACCGCCGCTCAGGGAGGTGGAGTAATTTTGCTGATGGGAGAGCTCTCTCCTTTCGGCATAGAGCATCTACCAGCTACATCAGTACAGCTGCTCTGCTGTAGCAATTCTAGTGTAGACTAGAATTTAGACAGGGTTCCAGAGGGGTGTAGCTAGATTTGGTCAAAACTTTCTATTAAAAAAACATTTTTGATGAAAAATTACCTTTATTTTAAACTAACATTTAAATTTATTTAGAAATGTCCCCGTTTTTCAATGAAAACGGCCCAAATTGAAGAATTTTTGGGAAAAAAACAACCAAACTTACGTTTTAATTTTGTAATGGAAAATGCCTACCATCTTGTGACCAGTTCTAATTCTCTCTATCTGTAATGGGGGTTGATATCTCTTTCTGGTAGTAAATAGGGCCTCTGTGGTACCAATAATAATCGGTCTCTAGTATGCACTATTTGCTCCACATAATTTCCTTCTCACTGCTGCTCTGACATACATCAGCAGACATGCACATTTGAACAGTTGGCCAATGGCCCTACAAATGTTATTGCAAAATGTTTCCAGGGCTTTCTAATTGGCTGCCTGTTTTTATTGCTTAAATCTCCATAGGTAGTCTTTGCTGGATAGTTAGTTTAGAAAAAACAAACCAATATTACTGTGTCATTAATTGTATTAATGGAGGAAAACACTTTTGTGGGGAGGAGAGTAGTTCATGCAGCATGGCTTGTATGCCCTCCGATCTTACGGTACCGTGTTCCCAGCCCTGGCTCAGTGGTTGAATACTCTGTGGCTGTATCTCATAGCCGTGCGTTCTGGGAGGACTGTGTGGTGGGATGCACACCATTTCTCCTCTAGCTCGTTAGGTTGAATCCAGCCCAGGCTCAGAATGACAAAAGTTGCTTGCTGATGGGGATGTTCAATATCTGTAGGGAATTAGTTGCTTGTTTCAACACAGCACCCAGAGAATAATTGTCTGCATCATATAAATTGCTTTCCTAACTGGTACCCCGTTGCAGTCTTGAGCTCAGCATGGAAACCAAACTTTCCTTTCCCCCCATAGAGATGGTCCCACCAGGGCAAAAGAAAGGCACAGCAATGAGGGTTGGGTTTGGGAGAAGTGGTGATGCTCACAGCACTTCCCCCTGTGTTGTACCTTTCCTATGAATAAATCAAGGACCTCAGTCTCCAGGACTGTCATTTAACAATTGCACCATAAAGTTATTTTAAGTATTTAACTGCAGAGCTACAGTGCCAATAAAATCTGAGTCATGCACCAAGCAAACTGCAAAACCTTTCCAGCTCCAGGTCAATGGCTAGGACTCAGAACGGGAGAAATGGTAGCTCCAAAGTACTCATTTGTCCACTGAAAATTAATGAGCAGCTCAGTGCTCAGACTGGAAGACTTTGACAAGTAAACCAGGATGTGCACGTGAGCTGAACTTCAGAGGGGGCTGCAGACCCAGCCGTGCATCCAGATTCAGACTTATAAACAGCCACTGAATCTTACCATGCCATAGCTCTGAGGAATGTGGTTCCCACCTGCCTGGATTTCATCCACTGGCGACACAAAGATCCCCCGGCAAAGGGTCCCCTGTTCTCTGCAAACAGCTCTCACCTCAGACCTGACAAACTCACTACAACAAGCACAGGGGAACCCAAAAGGTTATCGACAGAAAGCTCATAACTTGTCAAAACTCGTAATCATTGCAAGGTGTATGCTTGAGTGGCAGTGGCCGGAGTGCTACCACCCAGCTACCACATGAAAGACTCCCTCTTGCAAGAGGTAGGGGGTGACAACAGTCCCGCGTGCACCGAGACCCGTCAGACCGTTTTCCTGAACTCATATGCACAGTAGAGGTCAGCTGCGGCACCCGGGCAAAAAGTATCTTTGGTTTAAGTGGAAGAGAACTGAAGGCGGTGGTGAAACACTGGAATGGGTTACCTAGGGAGGTGGTGGAATCCCCTTCCTTAGAAGTTTTTAAGGTCAGGCTTGACAAAGCCCTGGCTGGGATGATTTAGTTGGGATTGGTCCTCTTCTGGGCAGGGGGATGGACTAGATGGCCTCCAGAGGTCCCTTCCAACTCTGTTATTCTATGATTCTATGAAGGCAGAGAGTTTCCTGTGAAGGGTCCTCGACTCAATGTCGCGTTGATCCATCAGAGCCTGGATTTATTGAACGTCTCAGTGTGCTGGGAATAGATGATCATCTTTTACTTGGAGTGATGGTGAGCTTGACCCTGCTACTACGAAGTCCTTATTCTGGAAAAACGTCTCGTTGAAGCAAAGTAGAGCTTGGACTTTAGGGTTTGGGAAAATGTTGGGAATATTTTTAGATATAATTAACGTAACACATTGGAACCAGTCTGTGCCTTTGAAAACGGGCAAAGGCAGTAATCTCCTGTATAAAAAAAGTAACGTTGACCTTGAATTCTATGATTGCTTTATGAAGGATAGAGCATTGAGGAGAGGGTGAGAAGAGTATCTTAACTTTATTTGTATTAATGTTCTTTGGATTGCTATCAACAAATAAAAAGGCCTGCCTATGATTGTCTACTCTAATATCTAGTAGCTCGTCTCCAGCAGTGGCCCATACTGGATATTTCAAAGCATGGTTCCCTGTGCTCCTGCTGTCACCACAATCACTATACCAGACCCCTTTTTGCAAAAGCTATGCCATGGAAGAGAGATTTCTTCCAGACTCCAGCTGGTGCCATGAAGCATTAGGATTCATTTGATGGCCATCATAGAATAGTAGGACTGGAATGGATCTGAAGAGGTCATCTAGTCCAGTCCCCTACACTCATGGAAGGACTAAATATTACCTAGATCATCTCTGACAGGTGTTTCCATCCTGACTGGTGTAGCTGCAGACACTGTTCTTTAGGATATTTCTTGTAATACAAGGGATGAGTAATGCTGTTTTGTGCTTTCTGTTGAAAGTGAAGGCATTAAGATATGAGTCCTTTGCAACAAATCACCTTTTCTCCTGACAAAGAGGAGGCTGGTGATCACTATCGATCATTGCAGAGCGAGTGCGAAATGCACAAGAAAGAGGGGGCTATTCCTCCATGCGCGCGTGCATCAGCCTCATTAATATCAGCGAGAGATTCATGCATTAATAATCTCAATGATATACACACAATGCCAAAGTGAAAAGGATGTTCTGTATCAAGAAACGTCAGTGACGATAGTTATTGCCACAAAGGGTATATCCTTGTTAGCCTTGATGGTAATTAATGTTCCTAGGTCAGGCTTTCAAAGGAAGTCAGCAGAGCAGATGGGATGCATCAACAGGAGCTGCGTTTTGGAAAGTTGGCTTCTGGAGAATCACTAGAAGTAAATCCCCTTTAGGTCTAATTCTGTCCTGATGGACTCAGAGGATGGTATGAGACTTACCTGCAAGTTGTTGCTCTAGACTGTATAGACAGGCTGGGAGGGTGGATTCTGGTTGGACGGGGCCAGTGGAAACAGTGTGATGGGTATCTGGACAACGAAGAACAGAAATGTTCCAAGTGTTACTACACACAGCATAACGGGTTTGTGGCTTAGTAAATACAGGCAACACAGCTAGCAGCTAAACCACAAGTGGACAGGATTGGGTATTGAATCAGCTCCAAAATCAAAAGTCTTTAGCACTAAAGCTAAAAGAGCTTCTCTCAGGAGTGTAACAATCGAATCCAGGATTTGCCTTGGGAGCACTCAGAATGTATCATCTCCTAGGATCACCGACCTGGAATGGACACTTACTGGTGCTAGGGCACCATGAGCACCATTGTTTCCTGCAAAAAACCCACTGCTCACTTCTACCCCCTTTAAATGAGTAGCTGTCGCTTCCTTCCTGCTGGCACTGCCGTGGGCGGCTGGAGCAGGTGTCAGTCTGAGTGGCAGCACCTGAAACCAGTGCCAAAGTGCAAAGAATTAGGGGAACTTGTGGAGTAGGAGATCTCACAAAGCTGTCGACCTATTGCCTGGGGCTGCAAAACTATGACTTTGGGAACCATTATCTACCTCCCTCTAGAATGTAAACTCACTTTTATTCCAAGAGAAATATGTTCATTATTAAACAAAACCAAAGCTGTTTGTCTACCCAAAGGATCCATGTACTGTACATCAGGGAACGGGAAATAGGCTTCCCTGAGCAGGGCACCCAATCTCAGGCACGTACTTGTGTGTGTGGCACTTATTTGTTCATCAGCATTTCCCTCTCTCTGCTCCCTTCACCACGGTGTGTCTGGATTTCTGTGTCATTCTCTCTGCTTTCTGTTCCATTTCATCCTTGTATTTGTATTCCTCCTTTTGTCTTCTCCCAGTCGAGCCACTCTACCCAGTGAGTGCATTTGGAGGAGCTTTTCACTTCAGGAGTGAAATTCACTGCTAAATCTGTGGTGCCCTATAGGGCGTGTAAGGCTTAGTATCCCCCAGGGTGCCAGCAGCTGACTCCTGGCTCATCTTCGTTACGGGATGCCAGGGGGATCAGTGATCAAGTGGTTAAAATGGGACTAAGGCATCAAGGGACCTGAGTTCTAACACTGACTTACGGTCTGCTGCTGGATAAGTCACTTCCCTCCTCTTTGCCTCAGTTTCCTTATCTTTAAAACAGGGCGAATACTTGTGAGGGGTATTGTAGCACTGAACTAATTAATGCTTGAGTTCCTTGGATGGAAGGAGCTGTATACTGCAAATATGCAGCATTACCCCTACAACAGAGTCAAGCAGCATTCACCTGCTGGCGTGAAGATGTTGAGCATAAGCATTAAAATAATGTCTCTGTATAGCACTCAGCCCTCCAGCCTCAATATAACTGACCTACAGTACCCTGGCAAAAACACTAGTGGCCCCAAACTCCATTGTCAGGGACAGTGGTTTGGACCATTACTGTACTACAGACCATCAGCGGACTTTTTTATAAGGCTATATAGATTGTGGCATTTATTGACATCTTTGTACAGCAGAACGTTTTTTCTTGCAAGTTGTCTGAAAAGTTATCCCTGATGTTATTACTATTCACTTAGAAATGCCTCATATAGAATTGCCCGCTATTGATTGTTTCCCCTAAATCACTCAATAGAAAGTTCATCCATCAATCAAATGGTCCGATTTCAATAGCTAAGGATTGGGAGGAAAGGGTCATTTGTGAGTCCAGCCCATTTTCACATTCTTGCTTTTTCTGAGTCTCCTCAGTAACCAAGATCCTGTTAAAATGTTTGACATTCCCCCCACCCCCCACCCCCCCACACACTTCCCAGCCCTATTCCCTCCTGATCTATTCTACACTGTTGCATGTAAAGATCTCCGTAGGCCATTACTGTAAATCCAAAGTTACTCTTCTGTAGAATCACCCTTGAGGAGCACAGCTGTAAGAGCAGTCCTCCAGTATGGTGAAGTGCATGGCATAAAAAACCTAGAGAGACAGACAGGCCTGGATCCACAAAGGCTCTTAAGTGCACAACCCCCAGACTTAGGCACCTACATCTTGTTTTTAGACACCGCTGGGATCCACAAAACCCTCGCTCAGCTGCTTCCCCCAAGGCAACAAAACTCACTCAGTGCCGACACTTCCACTGCAAACGTTCCTGAGGTGTGGACGCTTCTGCCTGTGGGCATTGGCACTGCTGCCTCACTCCAGGCGACGCACGGACCCTGGAAGGTGAGTGGAAGAACATCTGTCTCGCCTGCAGGGCTCGATCCAGTCGGCATATTCGGAGACCCCCTCACGCCACACAAAACATCCGGCGGGGGAGGACCTGGCTTATAACCTTTATCCCAGTAATTCGGGTACTCCTCCGGGGTGTAGGAGACCAGCGGTTCAAGTACCCACTCTGCCTGCTGAAGAGAAGGGATTTGAACAGGCTCTGCCCCCTCTCCAGTGAGTGCTCTAGAGCGGAAGAAGAGCTCTATGTAAGCTCCAAAGCTTGTCTCTCTCACACACAGACGCTGGTCCAATAGAAGACAGTCCCTCCTCCACTTTGTCTCTCATATCCTGGGACGGACACGGCTAGAACAACACTGCACTAGCCTACAGAGCCATTCACGCTCTTTCTCAGGACGCATCAATACTCAGTTAAAGTGGAACTACACCGGGAGAGACTGTGGGAGCCCTGCCTCCGAATTTCCTATCGTTCAGTGGTTACTGCATTCTCCTGAGAGGTAGCGGGTCCCGAGTCAAATCCTTTCTCTTCAGGAGGCAGAGGGGAGGTCTTGAACTGGGGGGAATATCTCAGCTCCCAGGTGAGACCCCTAAACCACTAGGCTAACCCACTCCTCCCAGGTCTTTTGTGTGGAGCTAGAAGGCCTCTGAACACGCCTGCTGTCTTGGGCCCCATACATGAGGTAGGCAGCAGCTTGCCTATTTTGGTTCCTGCATCGTGAGCAGAGCCAGGTGCCTCCTGCAACCAGGACTTAGGCACCGAACTCCCAAAGAGGGGCAAGGCGCTTTGGACACATCATCTCATCAGCATCGCCCATTGGCTAGCTTTGGTGGCTCCCCACTGTAGCCTTTTATTTTGTTTAAAGAGAAGATAGCAACGTGGTATTATACCACCATGGGTTGGATCTACAGCGGCGACAGCTTCAAGCTTTACAGAGAGAAAGTCCCCTCTGCTCCTTGCTTCAGACTGAGAGTCACTAGGAACATGTGTCCTAACAGGTTAGTTAGTCATAACATCCCACAAGAAATGAACAATAAACTCAAATCAATGACTACACCCTCTAGCATGCTGTGGATAGCAGTCTGAGGTGCCTGTATCTCCTTTCCTGTTGTACAGGGAGCCTAGGTGGCTTTATGACTAGCAGCGTGTTCCTGTAGTGTTTCTAGGAGTCTAAAAGTTAGGCCTCATGATGCTGTGGGTTGCAACATCAAAGTCCTTTCTTGGCTCGGGGCCACAGAAATCAGGGTTTTATTAGGAGTCTTGGTTCAGGGAAACAGGTCTGTGAGATCCCTGTAGGTCTAAGTGTTCCCTGGCTTGTGGCTGTTTGGGACAAACTGTGAGAAGGGAGGAGAGTTGGGTTTTCCCTAGCTAGCTTTTAAAATAAAAATTTACAAACCCAAGAGTGAAATCTCCTCTAGAAATTGATGTAGAGGGTACAGCTGATTAGGCTTAATAGTAGTGCCTGGGATAACCTGCACAGCATGATTGCTGTCGCCCTGCGATTGGCCAGGGGCTGGGCGGGGGCTAGCTGCACAAGGTTATATAGCAAACCCTGGGGCTGGGGCAGCTAAGTGGTGGTTCAGCGTCATGGGGGCGGGGGGCTGTCTGAGGAGAAGGCAATGTCTGTGAGGGTTCAGACGTGCTGAAAGCACACTTTGCAGTTTTGTAGGTAGGGGTGAGAAATGGAGCAAATGCAGCTCCTGCCATGAAGGGATGTGTGCTGGGTTTGTTGTGTTGGGCAACAGTGAGGCCTTTGTGGAAATTAACAAACTCCAGGCTGTCTAATTCCAAATTCCTGTGGCTTTTTCTTTTAATTTCCTGCACCCTCTTTTCTAGAAATCCTTTTAAATCTATAGGGGAACCATCTAATGTAAAATAGCATTTAAAGACATGAACTGAAAAAACCCAGCAACCTCTCAGTTGGATTTCCTTATCAAATGCTTCTCCTTAGTTGCTGCCTTCTCTCTACTAAAGTTGAACAGAATAGTTAGTCATGACATTCAAAGCTGCAGCCAAACCAGCTTCTACACAGCTCCCTTCTGTGCAGCTCTCAAAGCTACTCTGAAAAAAGTAATTTTTGCGATAGTTCTGCCTTGGATTAATCACAGATAAGTGCAGACTAGAACAATGGTTGAAACAATGTATCCTTTTTAATCAGCTCCCAGTCACTCCTCCAGCCAACAGAAACACGGTGGAGACAGGCAGGCATTCAAGCTTTGTGTAAATTCTTATGCTCTTGGAGATATTTACTCTTGGAAGCAGGGAACCTATTTTACTCTATGGTAAAGTGCTGTTTAAATATATGGCAGTATGTAAAATATTACTAAGAATCTTTTAATTACAAGACTAAATTATAGTGCAACACATTTATTAGGATTTAAATGCATCTTTTTTAAAGAGCATCTCTTTGATGGTCTATGGATCCTTTTCCAGTGGGTAAAAGCACAGTGAAAAGAGGCAAAATAATAGCACATTTCTAATCAGGTAAAGATTAATGCAGTGGACAATGAGTAAAGAGGCTAGGATTCAATTCCTGGCTCTGCCACAGACTGCTAGTGTGCCCTGGGGCAAGTCATTTAATCTTTCTGTGCCTCAGTTTCCCATCTGTAAAATGGGGATAATCATGCTTCCTTTGTCTGTATTGTCTATTTAGATTATAAGCTCTTTGTAATAGGGACTGTCTCTTACTGTATGAATGCACAGCACCTAGCACAATGGGTGCTCTCTCTCAGCTGGGAACTCAAGGTACCAGTGGCATATTGATAGCACACAAGCCTCAGGCAGCATGCGTAGCAGAAATTGGATACTTCAACCCCTATAGACCCACCAATCAAACACAAAATCTATCTACTGTGTTTATTTATCAAACTGAGCAATTAAATGTGGACAGGGTAATTGCAGGTCTGGTCAGTAGAAATTTGAAAAGGCTTCCCCTAAAACTGCAGAGGGTTCAGTTAATTCATTGTAGGAGAGGACACGGCCCTAATTTGTGGCATAATAAAACATTAAATATTTACTCACATGGATGCTAGCTCCCTCCTAGAGTCACTATGCTGGGCCACAAGAGATTGTTGTTCCTGCTGTCCTAAGTGAATGATCACCTTGCCAGGCTGACAGATCATTTTCATTTTCTTCCCTGGTACGTGAGCATTGACTTCTCTTTCAATAGAGCAGAAAAAGGATTAGCAATTAACTAGAGAAGCAGATAGCTTAGAGGTCAAAGCTTCAGGTTTGAAACCACTGCACTCCTTGGACCCACAGATTGTAAACATGACAGGACTAACTTAATGTTTTATCTTTCTGAATTACAGCCCCTGCGTCCCACGGGGGTTTAGGCCCAGGATCACCCAAAGTCCTGTCTGTTCTCTGTGGACATGAACACACTCATGGCACTTTTCCTAAGAGTGGGGGTTTGCTCCAAAGCTAAAATGTCTTTCCCGCCGCTATTGTGCTGTCTGTTGGCTGTCATCCTCCACCCCAGCAATGGATGCATTACACCAGGGTAGTACACATGATTATTTCCTATGAGCTAGTTTGGGATTTTTTCAGTTGCTGTCTGTAAAATTATTATAATGAGAAAAAGTGTGGAAAAGCATGAGCTTCTTCTCTCCCTCTGCACCCATTAGATGAATAAAGGAATCCAAACCATTCAGCCGGAGCCAGTATTTCCCCTAGAACAGCATGTTGCTGACTCTTTGGAGCCCTTATTTACCACTTCTGCAGTAGTTTGAGCAAGGTAGAGACCCCCAGCAATAACTCACTGCAGTTCAGGGAGCAGCACAGTATAAAACAACAAGAGAAGGCTGCTAAACATGGCTTTGCCTCCGAGAAGGTGTAAGCCCAATAGTGAGAGAAGGTCAGAGGAAGTGACCTGGAACTGACTGCTTCAGTGATCTTGCTGTGCCCAGGGCAAGGCCGATCATTGCATGCAGTCCGTAACTGGCTGCAACCACCTGGACCACTGGGATTTTGTTTTTCAGGACACAAGGTCAAAGAGGCAGGTGTGACTCTCACCTGAACAGATGAGATCTAACGTATCTCCTCTAGCGGGGCTTTAATTCAAGCAGACGCAGAGAAGTGGCGAGATTGGAATCTATCGTGGACAATTTCCAAATCAGGGCATGAGGCCAAACTGGAAAATTCCAGCTGAGGTTTTCCCCGCAGAGCAGGCATCAGGCACAGGAGAGGAAGGGCACTGAAGCAAATAACAAACCAATCTAAACCCAGTTTAGAGAACGGCCTGAGCCTCCGAGTTCAGCTCTAGAGCCGGATCTCCGCTGCCTCACCGTGCTGGGATGTTCAGAGCCAGGGTTCTCTCTGTCACCTCGCCCACACGCTAGGACCACAGGCAACTTGGTGTCCAAAATGAGCACCAAAAATTACAAATTGAAACAATGTGCAAACTCCACCCTCCTACCCAATTCCCTGGCTCTCCTGCCCCTTCTCCCCTTTATACCCCTCTCTGCACAAGTCTAGGGACATTGCTAATGATTTGCAGAGTGCACTGAAGAGGAACAGGTTTGGGGGTAGTTGGAGCAAGGGGAGCAGTGAGAGCCCAAAGCAAGAGCCCTAATGCCCCATTCATCCATTTTCCTCACAAGCGTCTGTGTGTGTGTTTGTGTTTTCCATACACTTTATTTCTTCTCCATGGAACACCCTTCTCGCTCTGCTGCAGCAAGCTCTCCTCTCTGTGAGGGCACGAGCCAGAGCCCAATGATGTCAATTGGAGCCTTTTCATTGACTTCGGTCAGCATTAGATTTCATCTCTAAATCCCTTATGGCAACTCTTAGTCCTTCAGCGGAGCCCACAATAAATGCGTTTCCAACATTCTGTCCTGGATCTTTATCTTTGCTCATTTATAAAAAGAAACGAGCAGAAACCCTGAACACAACCCCCCACGATGCGAGGAGGAGCTGCATGATCTGTCCCCCTACACTCCTCGTTCTGCCAACCTCCCTTTGTCATGTCTGAAATTTAGCTTGTCCCCTCCTCAGGACGGAGACCGTGTCTTCTACTAAGCACTCTTCACCCTTCATAATCAGTGCCTTCCCATTCGAGCCAGAAGGCTGTTAGTCTGAGCACCTCTGCTAACCTCGGGTAGCAGAGGGTCACGCATTTTGGTACAAGGCCTTCACGAGCACTAACCTCCCCAACCTTTCCCCCAGACTCAGGCTGAACCTGGACCTGCTTTGGGACTTAGTAGTTGGGCCATAACTAGACACCAAAGCAGGTAATTATTGAGCATAACTTTCCAAAAGGGGGCCCTTTGTCTGAGCATGGTCCCCTTGACTGCATGGAATAAGCTTGGGATACAAGTAGAGTGAGACAAAACCTAGCTAAATGCCGAGATGGATGAATGCCTTTTATTATGTAAATGCTGAAATGAGTGAATGCCTTTTATTATGTAAGCAGAGTGAAAATTCAGTAGCTGTGAGCCTGAAAGTTATCCTGTCCTTTGACTGTCGCTGGCCAGCTCCGAGAGCTCTTAAATGGTGACCAAGCAAAAGGGCGCATGGGCACAATGGTATGTCGTGCCTAGAGACACCTCCAGGTAGGCTGCCGTTATGTGATAACCAGCCCCATTTTTCAGTCTCGGAAAGGTTTGGCCAGCTTAAATAAGTATCTCAACTTGAGGGTGCTTGCCCCAGCAGGCCCTCTCTGTCGGATCTCTGCCTGTCTCCCGTACAAAGGAGTTCAAGGGTCAGCTAGGCCTCCTTCTGTTTCTCCTTCTTTTTGCTTAATAGAGAGGGAATTAAATGGCGCAATGATAAGCAGCAAGGCTGGTAGATATAAACCTAAAAGAAAGAAGGCTTTGAGGCCAGCTTATCTTCTCTTCTTCACTCCCCCAAGGTCTAACAAAGCCCGGGAATAAAAGCAGAACCAAAATAGTCTTTTCTTTTGTCTAGCACTCTTAGGTTAAAAATACACTTAGAAAAATCAAGTTAACTGTCAAGATGCCAGGGTGCAAGACGCCTGCCGTAGCTCACAAGCTGTGCGCACAATGCGGCATTACGTTGTTGCTGTAGCTACTTGTTTTTAAGCTCTCGGGGTTTGTCCGTTATCCCTGAGACCTTACAACCTGATCTTTCAAAACACTACTACTAGGCATATCCCTTCAGTGGGACTAAGACTAAGCTCATCGGGTAGAGACGTTGTCTTTTATGGGTCTCTAAAGGGTCACGCCAACTTATAGTGCCATAGAAATAAGGAGTGTGGCCAATACAGGTTTACATTTCAAAGCGCTAGTCTATTGAACGCGGCTTTGTTAGCTATTTATCAGGAATGGCCCTAATTACCGTTTATATACTTTTCTATAGGACTGGTCTACACTGGGCGGGGGGGGAGGGAATCGATCTAAGATACGCAACTTCAGCTACGAGAATAGCGTAGCTGAAGTCGACATGTCTTAGATCGGCTTAGAATCACTTACTTCGCGTCCTCGCGGCGCGGGATCAACGGCGGCCGCTCCCCCGTCGACTCCGCTTCCGCCTCTCGCCCTGGTGGAGTTCCAGAGTCGACGGCAGAGCGATCGGGGATCGATTTATCGCGTCTACACTAGACACGATAAATCAATCCCCGATAGATCAATCACTACCCGCCGATCCAGCGAGTGGTGTAGGCATACAATAATATGTCTTTAAAGCTTGAATTTGGGTCACTTAGTCTGCTGGTTGCTTAGCCCTTTCTGGCCCAGTGTCACAGGGGGGGTGTTTGAAGGCCACAAGTGGGGGTTCAGGAAAGATTTCTTTCAGGATGGGGTCCCCATAGAGCACGGGTTGCAGTTGTTTGCTGATACCCTGTAGGGGTTCCAGTGTGGGGTGGTAGGTGACAAGTAGGTGTCTGCGGTCAGAGGAGGTTTTATTTCTGTATTGAAGCTCTTGGGCTATTTGGGTGGCCCATGCCTTGACAATAATCTCCTGGGACTGACACTGCTACAACCACACTGCATACAACTGTTTAACACGCAGCAGACGTGTGTAGTTTTGAAATCATGTAAAAGTTTATTTAGCAAAGTATAAAGATTTGAGGCATAACAAGTAAAAGTATTGGAGGCAAATGGTTACATATCACGTAAAATCATAACACGCATTCTAGAGTCTAGATTTAATTAAAAAGATATTCCCCTGTCTAATAAAGTTAAGCTCACCCAAAATCTTTGCAGCATTTTCCAGCCAAGTTGGCTGTGACCCGCCTTTCAAGAGACAGGACAGGCCGACAGTTCATCTCCTCAGTGAAGGTTCCCACGTGTTCTTCGGTATGCCAGTTATACCCCCAAAATCCATTGTCTTTACTTGTAAGCAGGATACCCCTGCTGTTTTTTGCCTCCCCCCCCAACCCCCCTGGCGCAGATCTTCTCTCACATGATGTCAAACTTTCTTCATTCGCATCAGGCTTAGTAATGCAAATAGATTTACATTGTGAGACACAGTATACAATGGGCTGCCAGAGAGCTAAGTGTCTATGACCTTCTGCCTGGTGGAAACTGTTTATCACCTGGAGACCTGGCTTAAGAACATAGTTTTCAGTACAGATACATAACTTCTTAAATAGCATCCATCTATACATCTTGCAATGATTAGGAGAACCAGTGCATTTCTGAGTGTTGGAAGAGATCTTAGATGCTGCCCTTTGGCTAACTATTATGAAATATTGGACCCATAGGATGCCTGTGAAATCATATGCATCCCCTTTGCCAGCTGGCATCAGAAGGTTCCTGGGTCTCACATGGTTGTAGAGAAAAGCTTGAAAATGTGACACAAATGCATCCTAAAAGCCCAAAATGCAAATAAAAAGAACCTAAAATGTATCATTTCCTTTTAAATCTCATACTTCTAAAGCCAATCTCATGATTCTGGGGGTCTGAGTCCATGGTATTTTAACACTTGGGGCTGATCATACTTTAATAACCATTTTTTTAAATAAAGGTTAAATAAAAAGATCAGTTGCTAATAACATCTTAGATTATTAACACTATAAAAAGAGAAACATATTAGTTTTTACTATTGATGGCTTTGATTTTTTCCTCTCTCTCATTTGCATAATTCTAATGACCCTTTGAATTCATAGCCCTTTTCTCATC